TGAGAGTGGTGTCAGAGATGAGCAGTAAAAACCGTGTGCTCTTCCTGTTCCCCAGATCACTGCTTCACTTGTGTCCCTTTGTAGCATTTACCTGCCCATTCACCTGAAGTGCCCCTTGTGGTGATTGTGCAAGTAACAAAACAAACCCCCAAAACTAATACTGATAAAATGGCTCATACAGCATCCTACAACTACGCTTTGATGGAAGGTACATTAGCAAGAAAGGCTATACCAAGAGATCAGTTTGTCAAAGTAGCCCATCCATGGCACTAACCTGACAAAATTTGATAGAAACACTGCGAGATGTTCTGACATATTCAAAATAATTACGTTTGTAGTAGTTATCGGCACTGTTGCTTCCAGTGTAGAATCTGTTTCTGTTTCTGTCTTGCTGAAATATTCAAGGTCTTCCCTCAAAAAAGTCATAGTCTGGGTGGAAGCACATGTTTAACCAAAACCTGTATATACTGTTCAGAATTTATGATGCTTGGGCACTTACATGCATCCCCACACAATCGCAGATGCTGGCTGTCAAACTGTGCACTGATTACAAACCAGGTGGTTTCTTTACCTTATTCTTGCCAGGGATGCAGTATCCATGATTTCCAAAGACAGAGTCAAAATTTGATTTCTCAGACAACAGGGCATCTCTCTTTTTCACCTCAGTCCACCTTAAATGGGGTTGAGCCCAGAGAAGTTGCAATTGTTTCTGGACCACTTATACTATGTGGTTTCTTTTTGCATGGTAACTGGCTATGAGCAAAATCTTAATTTAAGCATTTCAAGAAGATGTGTACACACAGTTAGACAAGATGTTTTCAACAGTTTCAGAGCAGGGGTTCTAGTTTTGGGGTGGTGATAATCAAGTCCTCAGTCAGACTGACACTCAGCCTCCATCCACTGCTCCGTTTTGGTTAAAGAGCTTCTTGAAGGAAACTATAAAAGTTTCAACAGGCAGAAGTTCCTCTGAAGACACACTCGTCTCCTCAGCGATGATGGCAGGTGTTGAAAGAGCAAAGACTCTCCGGCTGTAAAATTACGACACTGGAAAACATACAAACTTTTATGCCACCCAGCTGACATTTCTGTGCGAGATATAATTTATGAATAGCTGCTTCTGCCGCTCGTTCACATCAGTGTGTGAAACAATCTGCATGTGAGAGTTCAAGTTCAGATGTCTCACAACATGTACAGTTTGTGAGACATTTGAGCCTAATCCCTCACACCTGCTCCATAAAGGAATGCCAAGTTAAATTTACAACCCCGAGTAAAGACCCAGTGGAAAGACGATTTTAATTGAGGATTGCTCTCTGTGACGTTTGGACTGCACAACATAGCAGTATATGTGTGTGAGTGTGAGTATGTGTGTGTGCGTGCCTTCTTATTTCAAACTGGGTCTATAGAGTCATTAAACATTTTAAAGATTGAGAGTTTGAATGGATAGTTCAACCCTAATGTACATAATGAAGCTGTGTTTGCCTTTCGCTGTTTATCTGCTGTGCTGTCTTTTAATATTATTTTTGTTTGTTTGTGTCAATATTTTAATTATATATATTCTTTAAACAGTTTTGTTTGTTTTACACAATACATGACAGCCAATGATTTCCCACTTCACTCCCAAAACCAGTATGTTTACAGATTTAAGGTCTTGAAAGGCAAGACTTGTTATTTCACTTGAGAAACTGTGATGGAAATAATGTCCAGAACTAAAAGAAGTAATACTGTTTTCTGTCACTATGCGGAAAGTTTGTACAGAAGGATCAGGCATTTGACACTTCCCTAAAAGTTCAGGATTTATAGCAAGGTCAAACCGCACAGTGTTTTTTGTCTGATGGTCACGTGTCAGATTAAGCGATCAAAAATCCATAAATTTGTGCTGTGACTTGACCAACAGGCATGACAGATTACATAGTGGGACCCAACCGATCATCATGACTAATGTGACTAAGTTGGAGGAAAAAAGGCTGGGCTAGACGACGCGGTAAAAGGAGATTAACAAAAGACACCTGGAGAAAAGAAAGCAACACACTTTTCCTTGATGCCATAGTTCCACATCTTCTTTCGCTTTGCTGTTTTTGTTTGTTAACATTTGTGACTTTTGCAGAGCAGTCTGTGTTCTCACTGAAATGAGAGCAAACGTGACAGACAGCAGAACGAAAAACCAAACATGTGGTTTGACTCTTTGCTGGGGGGTCCCAGTTGTGGCCTACATTGTTGCCCGTTGTCAGGGAACACCAGGTGGCCCAGCTTGCCAAGTCTCATGAACGTGCAGCATGACACACTGCAGGTCCATAGCATATGCACACACACATAAAACACAACACAAACGCACAAACAAGGCAAGTTGCAATGAGTGTGCACAAGACATGAGGCTACTCCGGCACATGGAAGTCTGTCAGGCAATCCTGAGGGCTTTTGCAAACACTTGCACTGTGTAACTGTTCAGCAGAGAGCTCTTATTTTGAAAGAGCAAGAGCATAATTGGTGTGTCTGCGTATTCTTGGCAAAGTGATTGAGTAAAGCAGAGTGTTTAACTTGGTAATGGTTTATGCATTAAATGTGGGATGGAAGATGGTCAGAGTGAAGGGGACAGAACAAAAGGAGTTAAATGTTAGTCCTTATAATGTGTGCCTCCAGTTATAGAAGCCTGTTTTATCTGAGGTTCATAACGGCGAATGACAGTAAGCTAGTGTTGGTTTCATTAGCGTGTGATTAATATGTACTAATATGACGTGCTGTGTATGACTAATTGCGGTGAAAGTTTGCAAAACCCTTAGTTTTAGCGACTGATAAACTACTTTTATATTACTTTTCCCATATTTTATTTAAAAACACAAATCCCTCTCAATAACTTCCATGACACCTCTGAATAAAATGAACCAAAACTCTCCTAATTTAATATTTAATACAGAATTGATCTTTCTTTCCAAAATGTAGTTTGTCAAGTATTCCTGAAAAATCTCTACATCCCCTTTTTGGAGTTTAGTATTTACCAAACAGTAGTCAGACGAGCTGGTTGCTATGTGACACCTCTGTACTGGTATGAGTAAATTTACAGGTTTCTGGTCACAGATGTGTGCTTACTGAGTATTTTATAAAGTCTTAAAATGGGGCTGGGCCGATCAGGGAAGACTGGAGCATTGTGTTATAAAATGAACAGTGAGAGTGATGCTGCCCAGAGCAGACATGTCTGTTGTCCAGATTGAGACCTCACGCTCAGCCCCAGCCTGGACAACAGGTTGTGTTTGGACTTCACATCTCGGGCCAGAGCTGCTCTGCCCTGCATGGCACCTAATCCACTTAAAGCCAATTACATGACCATTACTGTGATCGCCTTCCCGAAAATGACAATGCAGCCTGAGGTGGAGGGAGTCAGAGAGCACGGCGAGCCCTCTGCTCTGTGATGAAAAGCTCTGCACATTTTCTGCTGCGTTGCTGTAATCTCAATTAGTCTCAGCAACATGGACTGATAAAATCTCTGTTTTGTCTACACAGAGAGGTGTTGACAGATGCTTTCCTACTTAAGCAAAATGAGAGTCAGAACGTGCTTTGTTGAGCTGCTTTAGCTAGACACATCAACCTGTTACACTTTGACACATTCATCTTTTTAGATATGGTATTCATACACCAGATGACACTGAAAACCTTGAAAAAACACTTTTAATAGACCGACATTTAACACAAGACAGTGTACTGAGAAATCATGTACCAAGTTTTAAGTCGCAGACCAATATTTGGTAAGGACTGGAGAGCTTACTAACCCTATGACAAAAGAAATAAATATTAATTCTCGCTCTTTTTGTATCTCTCTTTGTAGCCTCCCTCTAAACCTAACTCCGTCTCAGAAGATTACTGTCTAACACACGTCTGGTTCTGCTCAGGGTCTCTGCCTGTTAAAGGAAGTTTTTCCTCTCCACTGTAACTTGCTAAATGCTGCAGTGTCACACTCATGATAGTTTAAGATGGAATCAGAGTGGGTCTGATGAGACTCAGTCTTATCCCGTCTTTATGGTGGGTCTTTGTAAATATAATGAGGAGTATAGTCTAGACCAGGGATAATCCAAACCATTTTATCTTTGGTAAACAGGCAGAAGACACCAGACTAATGACTAACCCTGGACTAAAATCAATGGGTGTCACTTAAGCAGCTTATTAAACTTTGATTTCTCATTCAGTGAATTTTTCAGCTAACACTTGAGGGACATTCCTCCAACAGATTCAGTCCAATTCAGTGGAAATGTTTGTACAGCCAGAAGAGACTTCAAGACAAAGATTTCTGGCTTGTCAACAAAACTCAATTGGTGTGGTGTCTCTGGCCTCCAAAAACTGAAGTCCTGCCATAAAACAGGGAGCCAGTGTATCTCAAACATACAGGGTCTAAACAGCCTTGAAATTAACATATGAGATTTCCGTCACTTCATATAAACATCTTTATATCATTGCTGCATTTTTTTGTGAATGTGTTATATTGTGAGACTAAAAACCATATGTGGCACCCTGAACATCATTCATCAGTCATTCATTGGTATTATTTGTATATTTGCATTGGTATTATTTATGTTATTACCTAGGCCACCCCTTTAAATATGTAAAGACATGTCAGGCGCGTTAAATTTACACTGTAGTAGGTATATGAATGATCAACAATTGATATTATTGGCAGAAATAGAGGGCCCCAAAATCAAATTTTGCTCAGGGTCCCATTAAGGGTTGGGACTTGCAATTTGTGATTCAGTATTTATCGGGGGCGGAGCTATGGGTGGGCGTGGCTGTGCACAGGCCCACCCAGATTGACAGATTGCCCACCTAGTGAGATTCATGACTTTTTTAAAAATATAAATATATTATATATAAATAATCTTCTTTAAACGTTTCATCTTGTTTTTAAATAATTTTCTTAAAAATGTACAATTTAATAAAGCCTACACAAAAAAATTAAAACGAACTTAATCTATCACGTGATTGACCTCCGGTAGAGTTCACCAGCTGATCACAAGGCCGGTTACTCTGGTGCTGAGCATGTGGATACAGCGGTTAAATGATGACTTAATAGTTATCTTTGAGACATCTGTCAAAAAACACGACTATAGACCGAAGAAAGTCCGGACCAGACTGTGATCAGGACGCGTGTAAAAACTCGGGGAATGAGGGAAAAACATTGTGATCGCCATCCCGGGAGAGTCCTGCTAGCTTTAGTGCAGCTAATGAATCAACTTCGAACCACAGACCGCCGCCTGTGGTGTTTGCCAATCTGGACATCTCTGGATTTATTATTGACGAGGAAGCAGCCACTCAACCCAAACTGAGAAGATTCACAGCTACTGTAAGAAGTGGAAAACCGCGGTCATTCAACGCCAACTAGTATGGGGAAGTACAATAAGATGGAGTACAGTAAGGAACAAGATGCAGTGTTTGTACAGCCTGTAGCCATTTTCCGGAGATGCACACAGAGACTACTTTTATCAGTTATCCTGGACATCGCGATGTTGTGCACCAAGCTTGAGATACCACTCAGGGGCCACAGAGAAACCCATGTGTTCAACTGGAAGCCCAGGAGACCCCACCTTGTGTAACAACTACCAGGTAAGACAGTGGTTTTATTTGATGTATTCTGGCCCGCCGTGGCATGTTATGATTGTGATTGTGATTGCGTGAATAGCAGTAGCCTACAGTATATCTACAGTGTAAATGTATTTTTGAGAACTTCATAAAAAATGTAAAAAATCGTCCGATTAATCTGTAATCGGATCCCCCGATAATCAGTATCGGCATCGGCCCCAAAAAATCCATATCTGTCGGGCCCTGGTTCTATGCAATCAGTATAAAAAGATTTATTGTACCAGTTGAATAGCATACACTAGATGAAAATACACATGAAAGTGAAGAAGTGACTGTTATTGAGGGAGAGAGAAGGTGAGGAAGGGCTGGGGTGGAGAGTGGGGGGGTAGTAGGGATATGGCTCAATTTACCCCGCTCCTATGATCAACTTACCCCATAAAGGGGGTAAGTTGACCATAGGAGACCACTTTTTTTGGTATGCTATATTATCAAGACAGTTATGTTTACACTCATTTTGTTGGTTTGCAGGGATACACAACATCTTGAAATATATACAGATATACTAGTTAGAGACAAAACTATGATCGCCTTAATAGTGATCTGAAATATGAAAAATGACTTATCTTATCCCACTCTCCCCTACTAAGTTTACCTTGTGTCCAGAGCAGATGATGTGTGATGTTTTGAGTTATTAGCTAGTAAAAGGGGGAAAACATGTTTGAGCCATTTGTTGTATTTTCTTTGCGTTTGTGTTTTGAAACCTTTATCATTTGTAATCGTCCTGTAGTCCTATGTCCACCACCAGTGTTCATGTTGTGTTGCAGACACTCCAAAATTCAGGGCTGTTTCAATTGTACCTTCTCTGATAAATGCACCAGAGTAGAAACCATCTCTATTAAGGCTGCTCTGCATCCTGAAATCGCCCCAAACAACAACAAACCCCACCGTGCACAAAGGTACAAAGGCCTGTCATTGCCGTTTGTGGCATCCTTTCATTTTGTTTCCGTCATCTGAAACCCAGCTGCAGCCCCCTGCAGAGATTCTTCCTAAACCTTCTGATGGTGAGCAGTAAAACCGTCAGCCGTCTTCATTAAGAGATCCAGAAACTGTTTTATGTTCATACATGTGTGTTTGTGCATATGGGAAGAACGGTAGACAGACAAAAACAAAGGAGTTGTGTGTCATCTGCATATGGTGAGCACACACACTCAGACTCTCTCCAGCATCACAAACTGTACAACACATTGTTTTAATTACACAGGAAGTAGGCCTGTGACATTCTTCTGCTTATTTATGATGTGTTGCAGTCAAATACGTCTACAGCAACCAAGAGGGGGAAACCCAGGGCAGCAGTTAGTTAGGAATTTAAACCACTGTGTCTGGAAAACTCTCAGTTACTGCAGAGGCTGATTATCAAAACAAAAACAAATGCACTTATGATAATTTTAGGAGCAAGAAACTTGGTTGTTTTAAGCGTTTATTATCTTGACTTTATTGTATAAGTGTGCAAATGACCTCTTTAAGCCCCAGATAGCTTGACAGTCTTCTGGCTTTATATACAGAGCTGCATTGACTCTCTTCCTGCAAAGCTAAATTTCCCTGTTTCCCACTCTTAGTATGCTCGCAGGTTCACAGGTTAGGACCATAGACTGTATATAGAATGGACGCCATCTGCCCCCTCGATGGGTGAAGCCACTCCGAGAACAGCACCCTCTGGTGGATGGATGCAGTACAGGTCATAAATCCCGCCTCTGCCAGCAAAGCTCATGGGGCTGTGAACAAGCTTTAGAAATGTATTACACAGAACATAAATTTTTCTCCCCCTTGCATGCGATGTTGACCTGTTGTTATTGTAAGACTCTCCTCTTTTTTTCTGTGCAGCTCTGTTTTTAAAAGTTATTCGGAGGTTCAAGTTTTCTATGATTGACACTTGATACAGCCTATGGGCGTACAAAGATTGCATAGCTCACCCGGGGGATACGCTGTTTGAGCCGAGCGTCATCACAGCGACTTTCGGTGACCCCCCCGCCGAATGCGTACAACGCAACTGCGCAATGTTGGTTTCAAGAAATAAAGAAAATTCACCAAAATACCGAGAGCTCTTTGGCTTCAAATCCATATACTAGCGGGAGGCGGAACCAAGTTGTCCATAGTATATACAGTCTATGGTAAAGACTGAAAGGCCTGCAGCTGATGAGCTTGAGGAGAATGAACTGGACTTTAGAGAGCTAGCCAGTTTGTGCAAAGCTGGTCTAGAGTCAGTCCTGCTCCCTACTTTATTCTTTCAACTTATTGCTGCAGTTGAGTTGAAGACAATAGAGAGAAGCAGACACATCTTGGACAGACCTAACACAGAGGGATGTCTGTGTATTTTGTTTCATTTTTTATTTCCTTTTTTGTAAGCTGGAGTAAAGTAGGTAAAGCCCACATGTCAGTGCACCCATCATGTTCCCATAGAGCTGTTAAGGGTCTGTGTTGCTGTAGGTTAAAGTTAATGCAACAGTTTTAAAACAGAGGGCTGCTGCTCATGCCTGGATGTCTCAGTGTAATTTTATATTTCTTTTTTTTAATCTCTAGTGAGTGAGCTGCCAGCTTTAGTTGTGTAGGTTACAGAGCAGGCACGCTGGGAGCTATCTAGTTACTACTGCATGTGCGTGTGTATGTGAGTGTGAGTGCAGGCGGGGCGTTTGTTGAGTGGAAAATGGCCTCTAAAGCTCCTCTACTCACCTTTCGCAGTGACAACATCTAGCACGGTGCAGCGACCCTCGAATCCCCTCTCTCAGCCGTCAGCACCCTCCTCCAGATTTCCCTTTTTGAGGCTTCACAACCTGTTTTTGGAGTGATAGAAGGATAAAGTGGTTTTGCAGGAGTAAATGCCCTTCAACAGATGGTCAGACACGGCAGAGGGATAGCGCGTGGAGGGGGTGGTGGGGGAGGTGGTTTCCAGGGAGGTCCTGGTCCAGCACCCTCTGTGGCCGAATGTGACAAAATGCAAAGTGGAATTCGCCGGCCCCCTCTGGTCCAGAATTGGCGCAGGGAAAGAGCATGTGAGAGGCACGATGGCATGTCCTTCGCAGGCCGGGCGAGCTTGTGTGACAGCTGCGATGTTTATAGGCCGGCTTCGATGACAGTCAGCGGGGGACGGCTCGGCTCTTTTCAGACAGGAATTAGGTTTGTCATCAGATTCTAAAATCCTTCTGATTTATGACGTTTCCACTCCTGTTTTCCCTCGTACCCCTTTGACCCCCACCGACAAACGCCCAGCAGGGAGACGATGACTTTCAGCAAAATTGTTTGTTTGTTTACCTCTTACTTTCACCGCAAAGGATGGATCTCCCACCTACACCAATGAGCACCATGCAGCTACACCAGTGGCACAGTTTTCTGCTCTGCTTTCGTAGAGCTTTGGAAAACGCCAATCACTCTTTGATTTATTACACTTTGAAGGTCATTTTCAGTCTGGGCAGCTCTGCTTCAGGGTGAAATTTATCTTCTTGTTGCGTATTTAGCGAAAAAACTCTGCTAGTGCTTGTATTTGGATGTTCGACTACTTGGTGATTATTTGACAACTGCTGCATAACTAGTGAAAGTCTGAGTTTTCATGCTTTTCTCAGTTGTGGGTTATTAAAACATCAACATTTTATGCCAGTTTGACCGAGGGAAAACTTTGATGCCATAACCTTGGTATAGCATCCACCCCCTCCCTCAAATTACAGCATCTAAAAGCAGAGCTGGCTCTTGGCATTGGCCACATAGTGTAGGCAGTCTCCTATACTGCTGTATTGACCTTATTTGTGAATGACGTATACTGATGAAAAATATGATGCGTTTTTCCCTTTGACCTTGTTGCGCTCACGCTGCATCATTGTAGAGCTAGCTGAAGCTCCCACCATTATGAGCATGAGGCTGTCCTTACATCATTACGTCACAGTCTCATTTCCAACCCTTAAGGTCCTTACGCACTGCGACCGACACGAATATAGAACGCGAAATTACAAAATATTCGGAGGAGAATTTTGACACCCCTGACTATACACATCAAGCCCGATGCGATTTTGCGACTTTCCAGGGGGGAGAAGACTGACAAAACATCAGACTGAGTGTTTTCAGTTCTGATTAGAAACTAGTGTTGAGATGTCTGTCTGTAGCATGTAGCATATTATTCTGCTGGACTATAGATAGCATTTACTGAGTCGGGGCCAGTACCAGATAAGCACATTAAACTATAATCCTTAAATGTAAGGTAACAACCGAGACCAAATGGTGCTGTGACAGCGACGCGATTGAGTTTGAGACAGTGAAAATACATATGGTATGTTGTATCTGAACAGGTTAGCTTACGAGCTAAAGTTACTTAGCACAGATGAAAGTTAAAACAAAGACGTTTAGCAAATTGTTAAAGCACACAAACCATCGTCATATGATAGTAGATCCGATGCTATGACTCTTTCATAAAAAACTTAAACTGAACTCATCTGGTTGACTGTTACTCTTTTAAGTATTTTTAAGTCCATCTATACCTAGTAAGTAAAGGATATAGCTCCAGTAGATAATATGCAGCATATACGACTCTTGCGTTCATATGGCCTTTTCTTGAATATTGCACTGTGAAACAACCCTTCTGCTCTATTTCTAACATAATTGAAAGCAAATTCCTCAGAACAAGAGCTGAGTAAAAAACTTCATTCAGGTCAAAAGAGTAAAATCAACATGTGTCTCAATCCTGCTTAACATCATCTTGCATTTTAGTAGCAACAGTACTCCTTGTCTCTAAAGCCTATCATCTCTGGGGTGATGCTGCTTTAAATTTAGCAGTTGTAGCTGTGGGCTGAATAACAGTGACAGAACAGCTTGAGCAGTACATATTTTTAATAACTTAGGTCATTTGTGAGATCAAAAGTTTGGCCAAACTGAGTTTGCTGTCTCTGCATGACATAAAACAGGATGTGCAAGGAGCCTTCAAAAGAAGAGAGAGACCAGTATGTTGGATTCAAGGTCAGATATTTGAACATTGTTTTGAAGTCTGAATCAAAGCGTGAGAAGATGCAGGAGATTTTTATGGGGCAGGCTTTTATTTAATGGTGTGTGAGTGGATAAACTAACCAAAAGAAGAGTGTTCAAATCAGGCATGCCTTGATGTTGATTGTAAATATGGATTTGGTAAAAAGAAGATAATATTTAAGTCACTCTGTGTTCTGAGGTTGGCAACCATACAAAAAGTTACCCCTGTTTTCATTGAGGTCCTCCAGCAGTGGCTGTCAACTTTTAATTTCCCATAATGGATGGATTGTTTTTCTGGACTTAACCCCCAGATGACAAAAACATGCATACTTAGTTTGAAAGAAAAACATCATCCAAAATATTTATGGGTTATAACCATCAGTTTATGGATAAAATACAGATTTAAATGTGAAACCAAGTTGGTTAACCAGCCCCTTACAGTTTAAAAAAGAAGAAGAGAAAAAAAAAGGAATTTTATACAAGTCTGTGGTCCAAGTGCTCCAAAGAAATCATCTTCCTCCAGTTTTTTTTAATCATTTTGCAAATCAGGAAGTAGTTTTATTTCTGTGTTTAATTCTACAAATGACAAATCTATCCAAGGTTGTGTGACAGGCAGGTTTTTTTTAATGGAATATAAGGATATGTCATGGTCAGATCAAGAAAGACATCACACGTTAAAGTCAGGGAAGTAGTTTATCCACCCACTGCAAGTAAAGAGAAGGAAGATCTCTTGGTATCTGTGACAGTATCCAATTCAGGGACAGAGCTTTGGGTGGGCGTGGCTATTCACAGGCCCGCCCAGATTGACAGATTGCCCACCTAGTGAGATTTATGATTTTTTTATATAAATATATTATTTACACAGGTATACATTTGCTGTGGGACGAATTTTATCGTATCACAAAACCTTTACACACACACATCTCTCATCAGATTTAAAAGTAATTAGGCCCATTCGGATTTTTGCAGCCCACCTATTCGCCACGTTCTGGCTCTGCCACTAATCCAATTTGATGCATTAAAGGCCAAACATGTATTTACCTCAAAATCCCATAATCTTACAGTCCGGTATGCAATATTGAGGTATTGAATCTGCATTTTAAAGGACTCCTTTTTAAGTATTCCTGGATGGGTTGTATGGGCTGTTTATCAACTTGAATTATTACCTGCAGAGATGAGGATTGCTTAGCCCCCGGTTGAAGAAGCCAGTCAACACTTGGGCTGAACTTAACACCCTGTGGACAGAGTCAGCAGCGACACTTATTTTAGCTTCCTAAATAAGGACAGACAGAATTTTAAAAGCAACTCTTACTCATTTGAATCCATTCACAACTCATAAACCATCGCTTTGAGCATCATCATCATCTAGACTGGGCTAATGCAAATAAGCAGGATGGCTCAATTTCACTTTCAAGGCATTTGTTGTGTTGAAAGCAGGAAAGCTAGTAATATCGCCCCTTATCTTCATGGGCATAAACAGGGAGGAAACAAAACTACCAGCTGTGTTTGGACTTCACTGCTGGGCTCATTATTCTGCACGTGTCAGTCCGAGATGACTTGATGAGCGAGGTTTCCTTTTCAGTGGTCTCTAATCTCCCTGATCCGCCCAGCCCCCACCTATCATTTACAAAGAAACTAATGAACAGACTGATTTAGAGATTACAAGCAGACCAGAGTCTCATTGGAGCAGGGAATGAAATGACAAAATATATCACCTGACAACTAATTAATGAGGAGATTATGTGTTGAACATCTCTTTTAATAGGAGAGTGTCATCAATACCAGGAGGGTTGTGTGGCAGTGGAGTCATGTTGGGAGGCAGTTTTACACGAGGAAACCCAGCAGATCACCAGGGGGAGGCTGTGGGGTTATTTTAGGTCGAAGCATTCGGGAAATAACTGTGAAATTTTTGGTTTCACAATGCAAAGTCAAGGCTGGGATCAGTGTTCAGTTTCTGCTTACCTAACATCATGTCAAGTCGTCAGCTGGATTATGGTTTGCTAGATATTTGTAAGCCTTAAAACGCTTGTCTCCACATCTACATTTTTACACTTTAGAGTATTCAAACATTTCTAAAGGTAGTTGACTTTTCTCACATATGTTTATTTTTAATATATGTTTTTGGAATTGTTAAATTATGTGTTTTGGAAAACATATTTACAGGTTACCAGTTAGGCAGGGTAGCCAGATGACTAAAAATTCACAAAACCCACTCAACGCCTCAATCAGTATTTTTTATAACTCCACTTTTTGTGATGAGGAAGTAACTCACTGTAGATTTGATAGACATATCTTGCAATTTAGCTTGCGCAAAAACACTGAAAGACCAAAAACGAGCAAACATAAAGGGGGGACTTTATTATTTGCAGAATTTCCATAGAAAACAATTTCTAAGTTCATGCTCTTTAGGTAAAGAAACTTTCCATTTTTTCAACTTACAAAAAGGAAATCAATCCAGGCGGCACTTCCTCACATCTTAAAAAAAAAATGACACCCAGCTATGTGACACTTCCTCTCTCCTTATCTGGGGAATTTATAAGCTCTCCTCCATGCCAGGTGCTCTGACCAGGGAATGCACACACACGCAAACACACTAACAGTGCAGACGCTCAAAGGAACCAACAAAACCAACAAATGAATATTTACACTTTACAGAAAAGATGTGTAACTTGAGACTCCCTTTATAAGATTTTAAAAATGTGGTAAGAATTCCAGATGATAATTGACCACACCCTCAAAAATACAGTCATACTGTGTGTCCTTGTGGACAGGCCTTTGTTCCTCCCTCCCCTACCACCCTGGTTCTCCTTTCTCTCTGGTCCTGCTGCTAACAGAGAGTATTTCACAAGCTGTAAATTCAGAGCAGATATATAAATCACAGAGGGCACAGCTCAGGGGGGGCCCAGTGACGGGATCTGCAGACTTTTGCCCCAGGGGTCACTGGTGCTATTCCAAACTCAGTCGAGACCTTCAACTACTGATGGGAAGACAAGGAGAGGTTAGGAGAGACAAAGAGGAGGAAGAGGGGGGGCATCTCTGTACTTAGCAGGAATCGGACAGATCCACCTCACAGGTGAAATCCTTTCATGATGTATCTGAATCTGATATCCAGCTGACAGACCAAGATTTGCTTCCTGGTTATGTCTGACCTGACTGGCTGGTTGTTCTTGCCGGGTTGCTAATGTTTCATTGGAGTACTTATTCAGGCTTAATTGTTCTTAGGGTGGTTCACTTTCTCTGTTATAGCTTATATTTTCTTTTCAGCCCATATGATCAACTTCACCATCACAAGTGAGCCTACAATACAGCTTGTTTATTCAATGGAAACAGGAATAAATGTGAAGAAGGATGTTGGATTATCTAGTAAGTAATGAAAACCCAGTAATAACAGTTGGAGTAGCTGGAATTAGGCAGGAACAGCAGCAATGATCCAAAGGAACCTACAAGACAAGGGTTCAGGGACTCCCAGGAAGTCCTGCAGTTGTGACTTTATCAGAACATGAAGATCAGAGACTACAGATGATCAGAAATCCAAAGTCCTGCGGGGTTGGATGATAATATTCTTTCGGTAGAACACCCAGAAGTTGGTTCACATATGCATTATACTTAGAGTGCACTCACACCAGGCAATCTGCACTATACTCGGACATATTTGACCCCTAATGACCCCTAAAGTCTACTGGAATCTGGCTAGTTTGAGTGCTTCACACCCAGCCTAGATATGGTATGCTTCTTTAGTTCTAGCATGGTTGGAAGAGGTGGACTTTTGCACGGTACTGTTGAGGAGGTTTTGCACACCCCACTTCATGTTGATATGGCCATACAGAGAAAAGATCTGGACTTGGATGTTGTCAGGCTGTCGAGTTTGCTCAACTTCTTACCAGGACTTCACCCCAACTTTGGAAACAAAGCTGACAGACTGGTGAAAGTCAATGCAGAGAGATTTCCCAGACTTTAAAGTTGGCACATATCTGCATACCAACACTATATCTGCATACCAACAACATTAGGGTGTCCTGAGCGTGTTTTCTGCTGCCAAACTGAATGACATCCGACCAGCTGGACATGCTTATTTTACCAAGAAGAACAAGTAGGCAGAAACCGAACACGGAGTCGGAAATGTTTTTCTTGTTGCAGTAATTCTACATTTAGTCACTGAGCCGGACTTCAGCGCTAAACAATTTCAGTGTATCTTTGTGCTTCAGCTTTACATCCAGTTACATCCAGTATGTGGCTATGGAAAATCTATGATTCAGGGAAACATGGATTTCTTCGGAGTAGGCGATCTCATCATATTTACTCTAGAAAACACACACATTTAATTGTGTTATCAAGAGATGGTTCATGGATCCCTTGGTGCATGAGTACAGCTCCTAAATGTTTGACTGAAAGTGAATAAATAGATGGATAAAGTGTCTTCTAAAGCTAGACGGACTCCCAGATTTTCAGAGCAGATGGTTATCAGAGTGACAAGCTGGCTCCAACATGGTCACCTATGAATCGTGCGATCCGAGCAATCACATGTAGATCAAGTTTCAGATTTGGAGGTTTTTTTTAATCTGTGACTTGGCAGGGTGGGTGGTAACTACAACTCTTGTCGATGAACACGCGACTGGAGAATCCATGTGGAAACTGAATACACGAGTTAAGCCTCACATCTGAGGTTCAGACCAAAGTAAACAAACTATCGCTGTGATCAGACACCAGCAGAGGTTTGGGATTGTCCAAGGCTTGATGTTCAAAAACATGGCTCTGTGGCTGAGGTTTGTTTTTCTCAAAACCGCTGTGCTGCAACAAGATGTCCTCCATCCCCCGCCTCCTCCTCCTCTCCAATCTGATCTGCTCCTCCACCGTCGCTGATCCATCATTGGCTGACAGAGTGTGTCTATAGCTGAATTTCTGCCCCACAAATAGCCCGGCCAGACAAGCCTCGCTTTTTTGAGCCTCTGCGATCTCCTGCTATCTACAGTAAGTCATGCGTTGTGTATGCTGGTCCGCGAACACGCTCGGCCTGCTGAGGAGTGCCACGACCCTCGTTGCTGCCCTTGGTGACCCCCCACGCCAGGATATTTTAGTCCGACAACCCCCTGCTCTTCCTCTCTCTTTCTCCTTGTCTGTGCTATCTCTCCCCCCTCTTCTTTCCCCTCCTCATTAATCATCTGCCGGCTGGAGGTGAAAAAAACAAACAGTACCCCCTCCAGGACACAAGGGGCAATTTTCAAGTGGTGGCAACAACTTTGCGACTTTTCAAAAATATTCTTTCCTCAGCGGGAGGTTCCAGTCCACCATGAATCTGCCAGCTGACAAAAGTTAGCACTCAGCGGAGTCTGTCAGTAACCCCAGCCCCTGTCTGACGCGGAGACATCCACACCAACAATTAGAACTTAATAAATCTGTTCCCCGTTTTAACACCTTGATTCTCCACAGCGAGGGATGTCTCTGGGGGGTGATGTCTTGGTTGGAGATGTCTTCGCTAATTAACAGTTGAGGCGAGCAGACGAACAGGGTGAACTTTGGCTGAGCTTCAGGCTTGTTGGAGACTTAAAAAGATGCTCCTTTAAAAAAAGTTACTACTCTTCTGAAAAAGTAATAATAGATTTAAAGTGAATGCCCATAGTGTATATAATCTAAAATAGGTTTACCATCACTTTTATATGTTAAATATCATTATATATGATGTCATAATACATGCAGCATGTGTGTTTTTATTGTCTTGCTGAAATGTGCAAGGTCTCCCCTGAAGAAGGTGATGTGTTGATGTCAGTAGCTGTTGCTCCAAAACCTATATATGTGGTTCAGCATTAATGTTGCCTGCCCAGATGTGTACATTAACCATGACAGGGGCACTTATGCATCTTCATATCATCACAGATGTTGACACTTGATCTGTGCTCTGATGGGTGGCCTTCCTTCACATCCATGATTTCTCACAGGAACATCAAATTTGGATCTGTCTGACTACAAAACAGCCAATCTTAAACGTATTCCAGCCTGGATCATCTTATTATGGTTCGCTCTTTACATGGCACAAGTTTAACCTGCATTTGAAGATGCAGTGACAAACTGAATTGATAGTGGTTTGTGGAGGTAATTTTGAACCCATGCAGTGATTTCCACCACAGAGTCATATCAATGCTGTCTAAGGGCCCAAAGATTACAGAATCCATTATTGGTTTTGGGTCTTATACCTTTTGTACAGAGATTTCTACAGATTCTTTGAACCTTTTAATAGAAATGTGAATTTACAGATACCAAAATTAACAATACTTACCGAAGTCATTTTGCCCATGTCAATATATTTGGTGTCAAAAAATATAGAAATAAAAGTTGGTTTTGGATGTGTGATGGTAGGCTATGGTCTCATGTCCCTTTAAGACACTGTCGTACATCAGAGATGTGACTCCGCCCCATCCAGTCCATAACAAAAAGAAAAAAACAGATGAGGAGACGGAGGTTCAGTAGTTGTAGCGGAGGCTGAAGTAGAAGAAGATAACTGCTCAATATATTGAGACATTGATTTGAGGCCATATCGCCCAGCTCTACCCAGTCATGTAACCATATTAGTTCAATCAGTTGGGAAATGTTCCCATTTTAAATATAGGGCCTCAATGATTTGCAACCCATAGCAATGTTTTTTTCCCATTTAGATTTATCATATCATCCCAACACGTTTTGGACCAAGTTTTAATTTTAAGCCATTTTTGATGCAAAATTTATTATCTGAGCTTCACAGAGTTAAACAAAGAGTATTCTTAAGCTTTAAGTAGGCTAAAGGCGTGATATGGTAGCCTTATTTTAAACTCTTAACCTGTAGGATTAGCTGCAGAGCAGTTTGAAACAATTCCAGAAATATTTTACTCACTTTACCAAAGTTTAAATTCACTGACATAAATTTAAGAAGACCACAAGAGCCACTTTGTGTTAAAGCAGACTTGGATACTGATTTTGGTTTATGGTATATTAGTTGTCATTGTACTCGTCAGTCAGGAGGGCAAACTGACAGTTACGTATGTTATGGCATGCGTGGATGTGTATCTCTGTGTGTTTGTGCCCAGGGGGAGGGTTGTGAAGAACACCTGTGCTAGAGGCAATCTGTCTCTGTCCAAAGAATGTGACAGTGACCCGGGATGAAGGTGAGTGTGTGTGTGTGTTTGTAAGTGTGTGTGTGTGTTTGTCAGTGTACAAAAGCAGGTGCTCAGTTATTGTTCTCAATAATGACAGACAGTAAGTCATGTCTTCTCAGAGGCAGTTCTTTAATGTAGTGTTGAGCCCTATTAGGTGATTAGCAGCAGCAGAGGCCGGGTGACATACACTGCACTGCTAATGGAATAACTGTCTTCAGTTTGGGAGCACAATGCAAGGTGCAGGGAGGAGAAAAACATGGTTATGTGACAGATCTTATCATAGACACTGGTTGAAGGCTATGTCAAATTAATAGTCTGTGGTGTGCACCTACATACAGTACATACTGTTTATTCGTGCATCTCCATCCACTCTGCAAACTCTTGATTCAAGACTTCATTGCTAAAGTAACATTTCTAACTCACTGTTGGGCTGATTATCATTTAGTGGGTTGGACATCATTTGCAATTCGCAGACAGTGCCACTAAAGCAATACTTGTAGAAGTTCCATCTCTCCTTTGTACCCTTTTCTCCACTGGCTTTACTTGGTACCAGTTATCATCCTCTAAACTGCTGTAGCTCCATTTTCACAGACCTGAGAAACTTACTTTTTCTTTTAATGCACTTTAGTCATGGAATAATTTAAAAAAAAAAACTCTACAGGAACAAGTGCAGGTTTCATCCACTAAATTTATCCCAAAAGAAAGATATCACTCCAGACAACTGACTTCATTACAACATATACAGCTAACTTTGAGATATTGTATATAGATGCTTTAATGCCAGTGGGGTGTCATTAATATGACAATGACATTTCACACATCAACTGCCTATCTTGGCCGACATCAGCAGTCATCTAACTTTTTATGAGCTTGAATGTTTGGTTGACTGCTACAACATTAGAAGGTCTGCTGTAACTGAACCCTCCACCTCTCCTCCTCACTTGGTATGCTCTGGATGGTCAAGTGGAACATTCCTGCAGACTGCATTTCACTCGCTTGGCTCAGATCTGCTTTAATCACCTCAGCGATGGCTGAGTAGCAGATATAGAGTTACAGTGCCAGGGAATGAGAGAGAGACAGAGAGGGAGGGAAGGATGGATAGAAGGAGGGAGGACCCCAGAATTACTTTTCCATCATTGGGCCAGGCAAGGTTTCACCGGGTCAGGGTATGTTGGTGTCAAATGGGACTGGCCACACTTGTTGTTTTCCCTAAAATTAAGTCCCAACATGGTTCAAAGCAAAAACATTTGCAGTCAAAGAAGTTTGTTATTTTCTTGTTTTATCTTAACCATAACAATTCTTCTATGTGGCATCATGATATCAGGAACATTCTCGAAAGACGCCTTTCATAACCATAACAAAATAATTCATGTCTGTTTTCCCCTCTTTCTTCTCTTTGTTAACTCTGTCTGCTTTGCCAAAAGCCACTAATGTAACAGTATTGTATGGTCAGCTTGTTCTTTTGCTCTAAAGTGTACATGTGTTTACAATATCAGCTCTGTATATGGAAGAATATGACGAAGCAACTTACAGTAAAATCCACTCACCTTGTGAGACCGGCATCTGTCATGGGATAAACACTTAAAGACTGTCCAGATCCAATCAACCAAAAATGAAGGTGAACTGTGAGGATTTCTGTACAAATGTTAGTGAAAGACCTGACTATACTAGAGAGAGGTTTCCATCTTCATATTAGTGTGCAGACCAGCTGAAGTGTAAAAATCCAGTTTAAAGTGAGAGTGGCCTGAAACTGAACACACACGCCCCTGTCAGTATAGAAATACAACATACAGAGCTGTTTTAGATTGTCGTTTTGAAGTTATTTTATGTTATGGTGAGTAAGATAAATGGTCTTTATGTGTGTTCGCAGTTTTTCCATCTGTTACCTTGTGCTAGAAAATAATGCATTCAATTGCATTAAGTTTTGAGTGTAAAATACTGATACTGCAGCTCAAAAAAAAAAAAAAAGTGGTCACAAGCAAATCTTGAATATAGGCAATACAAACCAAATCAACATGCCAAAATATCCAAAATTACTACATATATTATGAATTATGATAAAAATTTTATGGTATGGTGTCTCAAGTAAAACTGTAGACAGTACGCAAGACATGCCCGAGACAAAATGGTTTCACATGTACACTGGCAGGAAAAGAGAGAATTGCGCTGACACTGAGCCAACCTCAGTAGGAAACAATTCAAAGAGAGAACGATGGATCACTTCCTCGTCAGTGGACAATCATTAAACCGTTGGCGTGCTGATGGACAGACATTGTGTGAATTGTGGAGTCATGGAAAGTGCTGATTAATTAGAAGCCAGCTAATTGGTAGTCGTCTGAAATAAACGTAACGACCTGGTGACACTCAGTATGAGCTGTGTAAACGATCAGGCACATGGCACCGTGACAGAGGGGTGAGGGACGCAAGGGCTGAGGGGGAGGAATGGTGTATAATATTACATTAGATGCACAGATGACTGGTTTAACAGCACAAACAGGCACACTATCCTGTAGGGATGGATGAAATCTGTCTTCAAATGTGAGAGGGGGGTCTTGTAGATTAGTTTTAGGCTGAGCAGGACATGGAACATTGGCTGAGCTAGCTTGATGCTATTCATATCACAGTTTCCTCCCCACAAAAACATCAAGGTTCAAGTCCTGACTCTGAGCACTGGAGATGTTACACAAGAGAACTGTATCTGTATTTACAAGTATCCCCATCAGACAGACAAGGTTTCTACATAACAGAAAAGCTCTGTTAGTTTTTAAAGAGAAAGGACGTCGCAATCTAAGACATGCAAATACAAAGGGGTTAATCTGCAAACACACCCTTGTTATTTTGGCTTTATAGCTTCTTAGACAGTCAAATACACAAGATAACTTTTGCATACACATAAAAATATGAACAAACCCAACGTATCAATTGGGTAATGATCATACTGGTACAGTAACATTCCTAGTACTTATCAGTCTATTCAGATCTGAGCAGACGGCCGACTAGTTCTGCTGAGGACACATGTTCTCCAAGTCATGCAACCTGTCTACTTCTAAAACTATTAACTTGGTAAGGCCTACAGATTTGACAATACATACATGATTTGAAATTAGTAACATTTACAATTAGTAAATGACTACTGTCTTAACTTTGTGACTTTTCCTGTTTGTTGGTTGAGCGAAAGATTAGTACAGCATTCATTGCAGCAATGTGACACACAAGATACAGAGTACTCAGATTGGCACTTTAGCTTATCATGTTGGGATACCATAGTATCCTGTCTAATTGTGTTGATAAATGTGAATGAAAAGTTTTTTCATGTTGATACAAGTTTGAACATGGTTGAAAGAGAAGACCAAAGCAGTCGATGATCTGATGACTGCATCAGTGAAAATAACTTGCTATGCTAATCATTTCAGAAGACATGATCCGAGTCCATGCTGACTGATGAATAGTGTTGTCTGTAATTATATCTAAATTGATTTATGGGGATACATTTCCAGAAGGCTTTGGCTGCATGTAAGGTTGCACCTGTTCAGCCAGCTGGAAATATAAAGAGAGAGCAAAAGGTAAAGGGGCATACGTACAATATACACTGGGTATAAATAGGAAGCCTGCATGGTAATAGAGCCTGCTGTGGAAATGAAAAATCTGTTTATGTTTCACTTTCTTTTGTGCACTCAATATGCTGTGAACAGGCTTTGAAATACCATCAGGTATCAGCTTCATGATCCAAGTTTTATATTTTGGCGAATTTAAATAAGATTTACATGGACTTTTTGAAAATAAAGCTCAATATGATGTCTAACGATGATAATTTCCCCTCTTGAATGTGAAATCAATGATAGTATATCTCTATTTTGTTTGAATGGTTCAATTACAACCTACAGTATAGCGACATGTCAGCTGGTGAAAGATTAACTGTCCTGTCTTGGCGTTTTCCTGAACAGGAACATTTGTGGTTGCAATAAAGTTTAAGTTACTACATTCTTGGTAAGTTGCATTTCAATGCTGCGCCGTCGAGCCATTCACACGGTCACTGCAACCTTTCCCGTCATTGACTCACTTCTCAGTTTTACTGGAGTGCAAATTACAGCAGGGTGGGCTTTTCACATTAAAGGCCAGTGGAAATCTAAAAGCAGGGGTGAGACAGAGTGACCACCGGCATGTGTGCGAGCAGCCGCCTCATGTTCTAGATATCGACACATCACATGAAGATTCCTCACCGCATGCATCAATCTCTCACCAGGAGCCTGCAAGTGTGTGCTTCTGCATGTGGCCCTGTGTACACCGGGAGTAAGTGTGAGGGTGTCAGATACATGACAAACAGACTCGTCTGTTAACAGGTACATCACTGTTATAAACTGAATAAACTAAGATGCCTTAGATAGTGTGTTTACAACTGCACAACTGAGCTATGTCGAGATGGGACATCACTTTAGGGACATGCTGTAAGCTCAGGAGCTAAAAAAATGAAGCTGATATGGATGTACAAAAAACTGCAGTTCCTGAAATAGCCACTTGAGGCTGGCTCCAGAAAAGAAGTAATCTCTATGTCCAAATTCATGGCAAAATTTAACATGTTTACAGTCCAGGAGAAATAGCATTATGATCGTCGTTCTCTTCCGTTTCATCTGGGTCCGGGTCACGGGGGCAGCAGCTTCAGGAGGGAAGCCCAGACGGCCCTCACCCCAGCCACTTCCACCAGCTCCTCCGGGGGGATTCCCAGGCGCTCCCAGGCCATGCGAGAGATATAATCCCTCCACCTGGTCCTGGGCCGGCCACAAGGTCTCCTCCCGGTGGGACATGTCTGGAGCACCTCTAACGGTAGGCGTCCAGAAGGCATCCTAACCAGATGCCTGAGCCACCTCAGCTGACTCCTCTCGACGTGGAGGAGCAGCGGTTCTACTCTGAGCGTCTCCCGAGTGTCCGAGCTCCTTACCCTATCTCTAAGGCTGAGCCCGGCCACCCTGTGAAGGAAATCCGTTTTGGCCGCTTGTATCCGCGATCTTGTTCTTTCGGTCATTACCCAAAGTTCATGGCCATAGGTGAGAGTAGGCACGTAGATCGACCGGTAAATCGAGAGTCTCGCCTTACGGCTCAGCTCTTTCTTCACCATGACTGATCGGTTAAGTGTCCACATCACTGCTGACGCCGCTCTGATCCACCTGTCAATCTCTCGTTCCATCCTGCCCTCACTCGTGAACAAGATCCCGAGATACTTGAACTCCTCCACTTGAGGCAGGACCGCCCCTCCGACCTGGAGAAGGCAATCTACCTTTTTCCGACTGAGGACCTTGGCCTTGGACTTGGAGGTGCTGATTCGCATCCCAGCCGCTTCACATTCGGCCGCGAACCACCCCAGCAAGAGCTGAAGGTCACTGCTCGACGAAGCTAGAAGCACCACATCATCCGCAAAAAGCAGCGACACGATCCTCTGCCTGCCGAACTGGACACCCTCCACCCCCAGGCTGTGCCTAGAAGTTCTTTCAATAAAGAACCGGTGACAAAGGGCAGCCCTAGTGCAGTCCAACCCTTACTGGAAACGAGTCCGACTTACAGCCGGCTACATGGACCAATCTCGTGCTCCTTTGGAAAAAGGATTGGACGGCCCTTAATAAGGAACCCTCCACCCCGTACTACTGGACACGGTTGTAGGTCTTCTCCAAGTCCACAAAACACATGTGGACTGGTTGGGCATTTTGGTCTCTTTGGCTATTCCTACTTATGTAGAGTAAAATTTGAACTAAATCAATAATTAAAAGTTATTTATACAAATGTTGGTGGCCACTTTTGGGTGCTCAGCAAATTTACAGAATTTGACCTCTTGGCTATGTTTGTGTTGTTACAGTAATCTGATGTTTTTTTTATTCTTGTTGATGTAAGAGAATTCCATAACTCCATTATACGTAATAAAGTCTGCGTTATGCATTATCCTGTCTTAAAGAGAATTTGTTGCTAATTTCCTATTTGTCTCCTCTGCCTTGATCAATTCTTTAGTAATTAATTTATCACTTGAAATCATACTTTAGCTTGACCCTGTATATTTGAATCTTGGATAATTTTTTAAGGTAACAGAGGCTTCAGGTATCAAATCCAACCACATAAACAACAGAGACCAAATTGAGACTGTGGCTTTTGTTACCTTGAAAATTTAGGGGACTTAAATCTGTTTTTTAAATATAAAAGCTTATTCACCAAGTGAATATAGTCTCACATTTAGAGCACCCTCTTCACATTCAAACCTGAGTGCAGCCAGTCTTTTTCTCCATCCTGCTGTTATCCACCCACATTTTTTTGCATTTGAACTGTTGCCCTTTTGGTCACAAGCCCCCTTTTCCCACCTTTAGGCCATCAGCTACCCCCCAAACTCTCCAATCTCAGCGAGCCACAGGACAGGAATGTGAAAGTCAAATAAAAGTGCAAGGGAATCAGAGAGCTCCGCGTTATGGGAGGAGGCGTGAAAAAAGCTCGGCACCAAAGTTCACTCTGTTTTTGGCCAAAGATACCCTCAGAGATATCCAGCACCAGAGATTACATCTTTTTCAAAGTAAATAAATGGAATTATGATGTTTTCCTTGGCCGTCCACATTGTTTATAAAAAGCAGAGAGAGCAGTCCGTTCACACTTAAGGTGATAACTACAGTGGGCCTTTGTGAGGGCCGAGCGCTGGCCCAGGAATGATAGTTTACTTTGGACGCCAAAGTCGAGCTCAACTTTGTGTGCAAAGTTGTCAGGATTTGTACCTTGTTTACAGAGCATAACCCGTTTGTGAACTTGTCTGTTTTGCTGAGCATGGTGTGTAGCTTCTGTAGCTTTTGCATTTGGACTGGTGGGTACAAATTGTACTTTATAAATTGTAACTGAGCTATTTTCATAAGTGCTGTACCTTTAGAGAAGAAAGTCTGTTTCTGGCAGGACTTTACCTGGATGATGGATGTGTTTCTGAAGCTGAACAGAAAAGGCCTCTAGCTGATACGATTGCAGTGTGCTTACTGAGAGTAATTCAGTAGTGACTCCAGTAGTCGTGTTTGGTTTAAAAGAGAAGCCAATATTTCACTGAAGCATCCAACTGTGATCTGAATTTATTCTGGCTGAGTTATCTGACTGTTAAACTTATTAATACAGTGGTTTGTTTTTCTTTTTTAGCTCTATTTTCTCATTAGTAACTATTCCGATGCGCTTCTTGTTTGTTTACGCATTGATTTATGTATTTTAGTCTATTTGTTTTTTTTTTTTCAAGAATAAAAAGAGACTGATCAAAATTCATTCAAAAACAAAAATCCTGTGATCAAGATTTTTCAATCAGAGCGGCCCCTTGCCTTTGGAACGACCTTCCTGAAGAGACAAAGCTTGCAGAATCAGTGACATATTCTTAAATGATAAATCTAAATGATACACTGACACAACATCCTGGGGCACACTGGCTTCATAATAAAGCATGTAATTATAATATCAACCATACAAGTTAATAAAATTATATGAAAACTTATTGCATGTGGTATGAGGTCAGACTGGGTCATTATATCGAGGATTGGCATGCCCCCTCTCCAGAAAAACAACCATAATCCCTCGCAGGAGACAGAGTAGAACAGTTAAGGCCTCTGATAGAAACTGACAGGTCAGTAAAAGCCGAAATATCATCGGCTTCATCATCGACCACGGTGCTGGCAGCTGCAAAAATATCCCCTCTAAACATCATTGCCCGTCTTCTTGGAAAGGTGTGAAGTTTATGACGCTAAAACCTGCAGATACGATAAACAGTTCAGCGCCAGATTCACCTGATTGGAAAGTTGGGTGCTGCCTGGTTCCCAGCTCATGGTGCCGGTGATGCTGACATGGGTGCCTGAGCAGCTTCCCACATATCACCCTGTTACCGACTGATAACTCAGCGCCCCGACCACCTCAGCTCTGTCTCTCAACACCTTCATACACTGAGGTGTTTACTGACAGTCTTCACACGTGTATTACAGGAGGTCACACTGCTGTAGCAGCCCACTCTAACAGCACTCTTACTATGAACGCACATTAGTTTTTACTGCTGATAATCTCTGAAGTTGTGCACGCCCAACTTTATTTATTCTAATTTCCTGTAACATCACAGAAGATGAAACATAGAAAAAATATGTGGGTTATAAATTATGATGCCATGACTGCTGAAATGCTGCAAAGATTATCTCCTCTAGGATTCTCATACAGAGTCTCTAAGACCAGTATTTTTTCATGCTATTTCATGTTATGATGTCTCAAGTTTCAAGAAGTGAAATAAGCAGACTTAGAGAAACATGCAAATGAAAAATGGGCGGGATAGAGCTGGGAATATATACTGTACATCCATGCTAGCCTCTTCTTGAGCAAGCAGCAAATCAAACAGAGATGAATCCATTGGTGTAAGTTTAATTCACCTCTGTGCAGATGGACAGGTTTTCTTCGTAAACATGCAATATAACCAAACAGTGCCAAACAGACATAGACAAATACAGGATATATGATGCTGTGTCGGCCTATATAAACCACATTTGCCATTTGTATGTTGAATATTGATGTCAAGGTGTTAAAACCAAAACCACCATTTTATCTGTCCCCAGGAATATATACAACACACTGTTTAAGCCTGGAAGGTGTTTTTCAAAGTCTGTTTTCGAAGACCAGTAACTCTCTATATGTGGGGACACAGGCCTTTAACCCACAAAAAATAGAACTTCTTGCCTGATTCTTTAAGGTTGTGAAAAATGCAAAACTTGGAACAGGCCCAGAAACAGTAAGACGTTACAATGCCCCCTAAACTTACAACACTAGCGCTGGATAAAAGTTGGTCAAATTGAGGCACAAGCAAATATATTTCTGGACATATTCTCAGTGACGTTACAGATGTTGGTATTGAAACCCACAGCCTTAGAGCTCCCACCTGCCAGTCAAGTCAGCCATGCCACTACTTTGCCAAACACTTAACCTTAAAACTACAAAACTAAAGTTTTAAAAGTATTCATCAAAATAAGCTTATTCAGACCAAAATTATCTTTTGAACAAGGCTGTAAATATGTTTATATTTTCTGATTTTTTAGAATGAGTGTGTATGTAGCCTATGGTGATTTGTAACCAGCCTCAAGTGGACACTTGAGGAACTGCAGTTGGCTTCTTTTCTCAAGACCAGCTTGGTTGTCAGATATATGATTTATGATTGTCTTGGTAAAAAGTTTGTGTTTGGCAAAACAATGCTTTGGCACATTTTAGTTGTTTTGGAACTTTTTTCCAGACTCATATACTCAGATATACTCACAGATTTGTACATTGGACTTCTGGCCTTGGCAGATGACACTGCTCACTAAATCTCCCAGACTGTTTTTCAGCTGTACATACAGCAGGTGTCTCTCGACTGAAAAGAAAATGATTCGATCTTGAACCTGATTTAAAACACCTGCTCCACGAACACATGGAAAAGTGTTTGATTGTGAAACTCCTCGTGCCCTCCAGAGTGTCAGGACACCAGTCAGAGTCTCCTGTTATATCAGCAGGTCGACTGGTCAAGTCAGCGTTGTTTTGCTGTTGTCCGAGCCGTTTGATGTTCTATTTCTGCTCACACTTGAAAGACCTCTCTGTCACATTAATCAGGGCAGCAGTGAATGCCACACAGTGTTTTCTGTCAATCTGGAGGCCTCTGACCACACTCACAACGATTTATTGAGAAAAAAAAAAAGCATCTATATTTGTAGCAGCAACCTTTTGCCGGGCCTCGCCAGCTGATGTCAGTCAATTATTTGTCCCCCTGAATCTAATACTTTTTCTGCCTGTGCCAAAACTCTGAGCATGGAGAATCAAGATCCCCGCGCATACACACGCTTGTATGCACAGACGCACACTGACGCACACACTCGCAGATGCCGTCTCTTGCTTTCGGTCAGCGCGGAAAATCAGACACTGCATCCATCTGCTTGTGTTATTCCTAGCAACCAAAGTTGTGTTGCTCCACTGAAGATCTCCCCACATGAACTTGTCAATCAGGCAGCAGCCAATTGATGTTTTATTGTTTTGTTTTTCCCTTCCAAGACTCTTCTTAACCTCGTTAAGATTTTTTATATCATGATGTTGTGGATCCGTGCCTCATCAGGTTAGCCATGTTTATCTGTTTACAGGCCTTTCTGCTAACTTTAGATGCCTGTGAGTCAGAGCTGAGGGAATAAAAGCCAGAGAAGAGCTTTATGTGTTTCAATCTAAGGCCAGCAACAATTTTTTAAAGTTTCTTAATGATTGGTAGCTTCAGGGAAGAAAAAAAAACATGAGATTACAGTGTGCACTTCCTATGGGTGCTTCTGAAAAGTGTCACACTACCAAATCGGTCAAAAGTTGCCTAAAAAAAGGTGCCCTGTACAAGTTGTACGTCATGGTGGGTGAAACCACATCTGTTTAGACGAATGTGTGATTTAGTGTTGTGGGTTTAAGAGGGGAGAAAAGCCAGGAAAACTTGATAAACCACACAAATCCACCATAACCACAGAAAGCCTTGGTAAACTAGAGTAATGCCCAAATGAAGTGTGAGAAAAAGGAGGAAAAGAACGACTTTGTAATACCTTTAACGACACGGTTTACTCAGGGATGAGTGTCGAGTTTCCGCGGAAATATTGCCGCGTCCGAAATGTGGGGCGGCATTTGTCTCATTTTGCACGCTGACTTACGCTTTGGTATTACACTGGAAATAGTTATGCTTGGATTTCAAGCCTGGTGCACTATTGCACTGACCTTCATCCACTTCCATTAAAAATATACTGCATTCCCATTGTATGTGTTTATTGGCAGAGGGAGGGTTTCTGAGGAGCAGTTGCTACTTTTATTCGAGACATGTCTCTGCTCAAAACACTTGTTTCAAGTCCTGATGACAGTATTTCATGAATTACAACACACATACCAAAGACACTGCTATTCATGCTTTGCAGCTGTGATACTATAGTACTTGATTATTGCTTCTAGATACTTTAATATTTATTTCAATTTACCATGCTTACTTAGAACCTACAAACATAGACACACTTGTTTTAAATGAGCTCTATAAATAAAGTTTGAGTTGAGTTGTTATTTACTGAATTGATTAAACTGAATTTGCTAAAGTGGTGCAGATTTTCTATCCAACAACTTGAAAACTTAGCTAAACAGGTTTAAGATAACAGCGTAAGATTTGTGTTTGATCTTGGGGAATTCAGTGCCATGAAGTCAATAGTTTTATTTACTTAAAGATGTAATTTACATTTTTTTAAAGCAACGTTTTGGGGATTCCCTGCTCCAAAATTGATGCACCACAAGTGCTCGTGTTATATGAATATTAGAGCTCACACAATTATTTTTAAAATTGTGATTAAATTACAGAATTTCAATAGTTCAACATCATAATATTGATCACATGTTTAAAATTTGGATCACTTTGCATTGTAGGAAAGTTTTTGAGGTAATATCATCAATGGAAGGCAAAGAGCTTATCCTGTGAAAATCAGCATCTGTTTTATTTCATTAAATTTTTATTTCACTTTATCGCATTAGAAATTATGCATCAGTATCCACAAAGTCTGCATTTTTTTCCCCCAATTTAACGCAATTTTTCTGGCTATACTTTTTTGTTAGAATATTGAATGCAGGAGTTTATAGGTGTAATTTATTTATTTTTTTTTAATTGAGAATTCCTGCCGTAGTTTTACTAAAACAACCAGCATGGGATCATTTTTGCTGTGTGAGAGGTGAAGCTGTTATTGACCTCCTAAGTTTGTGGGAGACGGTGAAGTGGCCAGAAAATAAATGAGTAAAATAATCAAAATCAAAGCAACATGGCAATGAAAAACAGCCGACCAGATAAAAAGTGGTATCCTCACTTAGTGTGCGTACACAAAGAGGCCTAAATTTAGTCTTTTATTCCCCAATTAAAGAACATAGAGGTTACATTGTGTATTTTTACTGGGTCTTGCATGTTGGATCTTAAAAGGGACAAACTAAATACCTGTTCAATAAAAAAAAACAATCAAAAAAGAGAAAAATATAATTTAAATGTTTATTACCAAAAAAATATAAAAACTTGGTGCATTGCTCTCCAACAGTCGCTATCTATAAGGAAAACACCATCTAACTTCTCCAAGTTTTCTGTTTATAGCATGCATGCCTTAAGTTGAATTCAAGATGTATTTAATATGAATAAGTTTGGTCAACAAGAACTTAAAAGAAGCTCAAAGTCACTGTAGATCACGATGAATGAAGCAGAGAGGATGTTCAGAGCTTGTTTTTTGGTCTTGACGTGCTCTCCGGCTGAAGGAGGCAGAGTGGTAACAGGTGTCTAAGTCAGACTGACGTTGATGGATTTCTGGGAAGACCCTGTCACACCAGCAGCACGAGTACCTCGACTCATCATCATCAAAACGCTGACCTGTGACAACATGACCTTGCTCTTTATTATACAACCTCAAGGAAGGGCTCAGAGTCGAGATGTAATGGAAAAGTTCTTGGTGCTTTCTGCCTCTGTGTTTCCACTGAAGGCATGACCAGTGTGCGGTCGGCAGCCTCAGCTTCTCTTTGTAACTTCACAGACCCCGAATCTTACCCGCTTCTATAAAACCGCTCTTTAAATTCAATGGGTAGCAGGTGGGGGCTCCATGCCTGTGGCAGGAATGCAGGGCCAGGAGAAGGACTCTGTGGGGGCTTAGAGATGCCCCTTGGCACCGGGGAGGAGACCTCTGCAGGGCTGCCCTTTAGGGCTGCACAGCCAGTGAGAACCAAGTTCAGCTTGAAGTCTCTACATGTGAACCTGTCACTCTCACAATCTGGAGGCTGTGCGGGAGGAGGGGTGTGTATATGGGGGGAGGATTTAGACCATTAGTTCTGGGCTGCCCGGGTACACACTCACATGTGTGCGGAGAGTCACTGAGGTCTTTCTGCTAATTATAGGCTGAAATCTGACAGAGAAAAATTAGAGGGAAAAGGGACAGCTGCAGGCTCCTGAGGACGACCAAGGGAAGAGGAGAAAGAAGAGGAGGGGGTTTTGATTTCTCTCTAAATCCTCAAACCCCCCTCCTTAAACCTGAAAACAAAATTCAATCATCTCAGTGTCTTCCTTGCTCTCTTATCCCTCCTCAACACAACACTGCCGCCTCCAGCGCCCTCTCAGACGAGAGGTCAAAGGTCAGTCTCAGTTGGGATCACCCAGGTTTCACAGGATGTCCCAACTTTTTCTGAACTAATGCCGTTTCCTCCAGGGGGGCTTAGCCAGCAGCCAGAGACGAACCTGAGAGCCCCCCTGTCTGAATCGGGTCACATCAGCAACCATCACTCACAAACTCACACATGTGTACACGCACAATATGAAAACACATATATCTTACATCACCAAAGTTACATAATGAATACTCATAGCATTTTAACAATTATTAATCCAAAGTCTCTGATAAGCTCAAGTATTTGGTGGATGTTGCTGAGTCTGATTTAAAAGGCTCAAGTGTTCAGCAGTAGTGATGGGCACAGCAGTTTTTTTAGATGTACTGAATCAGTGCACTAAAAAGATTCGTTCACCAAATCAGATCATAGCTTCTGGGACTGGGAGACGAGAGCGTTTTCCTGTGATGCTTTGGCGAACAGGTTTGTACAAATGAACTTGTTTATAAGTCATGATGTTAAAAGTGTACTGTCCTATGGTATGCTATTTGTCAGGTCTAGACTCGGTGAGTGATTTGTTCACTAAACGTTTAGAAGGATTCACACTGAACATGCACCGTTCCCCCACTGCAATGATAGGATGCTGCGGGTTTAATGCACTACTTGTTACATGTTGTGTCCTATTGTATGCAAGTTGTTGTGGTGGCAATTTAGCAGTGAAAAAGAAAAGGTAGTTTTGCCCGACAAAAATGATTCCAGAGTGTAGTTAAATGTGTGATTTGTTCACCAAGTCATTCAGGCGTCGGTGCATGTGGTCACTCGTTTGCCGGCTGCTCAGCTCAACTGAAGTGATAAACGAACGAATCACTTGAGGAAGTGATTGGGTTCAGTACGTTCACTTAAAAGATTTGTTTCATTTGAACGAATTGTTCGCGAATGATACAACACTATTCAGCAGAATTCACCAAAACAGATGATGGAATAACTAGAGGCGGGCAGGCTTTCAAATGCTGATGATATCTAAGAATTTTTATTTATAGATGTCAATGAGGAAAAAAACTTGGCAAATGGAGGATTATACTTCTCATACATCACATTTATGAGGTAATTTGTTTATTTTTTTGTTTACAGGTCAGCTGATCACAGTTATAGTCAGTGATTGGTCAACAGACACAAAAAGATGGCAGCTTCTGCATTGTATAGTCAGTGGACAACAGAATTATTACAGATTCTCATAGATTTTGATCTGGATTGCCCCCATGATAGAAAAGTTTTAAAATAACACAGAAACGTGCAGTTTATCACTGTGGAATACCGTCCTAACGAAGTGAGTGGATTTTAATGTAAGTGGCCACATTGTACCACACTACAATATTGTGTTATATAGGGCTGGGTGATAAACTAAAAATTTACCAACAACGAAATTTACGACAATAACTCACATCATTTTGCCGATATCAATATAGTCAGTGTCAAAGAGGGAAAGACAGGAGAGGAGACAGAGGATGGTTGAAGTTAATGTGGAAGGGGGTGAACAGCTTGTGGACTAGTTATCGTTCATTTATTGTTATCGAGGTGAACTACTCAATATATCGTGATATTAAATGAAGGTCATATTTCCCAGCCCTAGTGTTGTATACTACATGGTTGACTCCAGGTCAATATAAGACGACCCCCCTTTGTTTGTAGGTGTGTTTATCTTACATTTGGGTCAACACAGAACTTACCATCTATAATGATTTTGTATTCTTTGAATGAAAATATAACATTTCCACACCATCACAACAAACACACATGGTTTTGAAGATGACTCAGCCTCTCCTCAATCCAACTCTGCTCTGTGCTGGGAGTATGTTACCCATCCCAGCCTTCATAATGTGACAGTGTGCAAAATGTTCCTCCATGTCAGTGTAATATTGTAAGATCATTATCTTGTTACTGGGGTTTCCGTGAGAATGTCCTGAGCTCGCCTTGGACCAGCTTAACCGTCTTACAGCCCAGGCACAGTAGCCGAGCGCAGATTGTTCCCCTCCCCGCTCTGATTGACAGGTGTCCAACAATCCCCGTGGCTTTGCGCCGGAGATCCGAAGAAGCTGGACGGAGGCCCCCCGGTGCGGCTGGGTCTGACCTTGCCCGGCTCATCAATAGCATTCATTGCTCCCAGGCTGCATGTGACAGGTGCTCCGACCCCTCAGGCCTAAATCCTGCCCCTTTTTATTGGTCCTCCTGCCTTTCCTCTCATACATGTTTCCTCCAGGGACATTAGGGAGCGAGGCTCAGGTCCCCTCGGGCTCACATTAAATGCCTGTGGTTAATTAGCTGAGGTTGCTATTACCAGCAGAGGTGGAAACCTCTACCAGTGCACCCCAGCCTGGGAACACTGGGAGATGTGTGATCTGTGCTCTGAGACGAGATAGAATTTGTAGTTTTCAGTCCGGTCCCAAACCTCTGCCAGGTTCTCCCACAGTGAGTCAAATGCAGCAGTTTTCCTCTTCTCCTTCCACCTGCAGAGAAGACTCACACCTCCCCCCTAGTGGCTGCTGCTGCACATGCACCCTTACAGACAACCTAGTGCCTCCAGAGACGATGACATGAGCACACGTCTCAGAGTACACAGAATAAATGCTCTGTTACTAACATGCTTTCACTGACACTTAATTTAATTGTCATAATTGTTGAGTTTTCCTGATAACAGAGTCTCTGATTATGGTTCTTTTACACTTCATATTTGTAGTCATCTCTTTTATCCAGGCCTGTGAAAAATTAAAGTTTGATGTGGAAATGAGAAAATTTACATGCACAAAAGCAGGGTATGTTTCTCTTTAAACAGCTCTCTGTTAGCTTACACCCCCTGAGATGCGTTGTCGCCCTGAGGCAAAGTGAAGGAAATAAACTCTCCAACACCCAGGCCTCCTGCTGACTCGAGTTTGTTGATGAAATCTGGCAAAACTCCACAATCTCTCTCTCTTACACAAGACTTGGAGAGTAGTTTTTGTCAAATCCTTGGATAGAGTTTTTCCTGTGTTTCTGCCATCAGTGAGCATCCTGTGTCCTTCTTTTCAGACACATGGTCACAGAATTACATGATGCTCTTCCATTGAGAAAACATACATACGGAAATCCTACATATGTGATTTGAAATACATTTTTTTTACGTCTCTGTATTGCCTTTTTTTCTGCCACACACACACAGCCATGGAGTTTTTCTTTTTCTTTTTTTAAAAATCTTATCCAAATCTGTCTCATGCCTTTAAACACGCTATTCAGAGAAAAAAGTAACTTTGCTTCTTCTGCAAGAACTTTATTGAATAGACTTTGAAGCTACAGTATACAGCTTCTTTATATGCATTACAATAGAGTCTTCGGAGCAGGATCACACCTCAGGTGCCCCTCTTCTGGCATCCTTATAAATTCAGTCCTATCCCTCTCCTCCTCTTTCATATTTTGTCTGCCCTCTGACCTGCACATTTATCCCCATATTTCTTTCCTTCCTTCAATCTGCAGGGCTCCTCTAAGGGAGTTTACTGTGTAAGGGTGCGACTGAGTACTCCCTAACAAGCCCCCCAAATTGACAGCGAGAAATCCAACTTCAAATTCTGAACAATCGTTCCAGTATGGTAAATAAACGATTGTCATATTGCATCCTGTTGATGGGGTAGTCCTTCCTGATGACTTTGAGACTGTAGCTCATTGAAACAAGAAATAATTTGCTTCTTAAGGCTGTTTCCTCAATAAAATGTGAAAGTATAAAGTATTTAAGGCTAAAAAATACACCTAATACCAGCTCTAAAAGTACCAGTGAGTACATTGTTGATCACTAGTGCATATGTGGGAAATCTATTACCACTTTGCACATTGACTTAAAATGTTTGCCGCTAATAGTTAATGTTGCACTGCTTTCATATCTATAGAACCTATTCATGTTAATCGTCTTTCTAGTCCTCCTAACCTGCCGCCATCAAGAGAAAAGTTCTAATTTTTGACCTTTGTCTTTGCCAGGTTACCCTTCTTTATAAGACCACATTTTTTTTACTATAATTTTATTTCACTTTCCCTCACACTGACCTGTTTTTAAAAGAGTCATATTCCTCTCATTTCTATCCTTTCCTCCTTCTCTACCTTTTCTGTGTTTCTGCTGAGATCATGTTATTTGCTTTAGCCTGGAAACGCCATTATGACCCCCAACAGAGTGGAGTTTCACCAGTGAGATTAACTGGATACTTCTGCAGAAGGTCAAACTCTGCGTGTAACTGTGTATGCATTTAACGGTGAATGTACAGATAGGATTTAATGTGCTAAGACATTTATCTGACTTGCACAATTGAAAGAACAAGACATTACTTCTAAATTAATGCGCTAGAATAGGTGGCCTTCTGAATGAGACAAACGAAATATGGAGAAAAAGTGTCGACATGTACAGAAAAGTTTAAGAAACAACTTAAGACGAGATTTTAAAAACGCAGAAACATGTAAACACAAATCTATTTACCTTTTTTCTCATCCACACCAGAGTAATAAGTATTTGAACATGCCAAAAGGAATACTGCTGCAGTACGAGTCCACTTTGTTTTTTATTTTCAGTCTATTTAGCAGGTTAGGTATGAAAATGCTTGCGAACTGTTGTTCAGGTCTGGATTTTAACATTTTATTCATCAGGAGGCAATAAGAGACATGGAAAACTGAGTAATCCACATCTTAACATAAATAACATGCAGCATTCAATCAGTGCGTGTGTGAAAAGCTAATATCTACTTTAATTTAAGGCTGACAGAATTCAAAGTTCCTAAATGAAGATATATTGTCTGCTGTGATATATCTTGTACTGCAGCCTTGTCGTATCTTGTCATCCTGTCATCGCACAGCTCTTTGAGGTTGTTAACACTACTTAAAACATTACATTTACAGGTTTCTTTTGTAAAAACAAAAGGGCCTTGGAAAAATTCTTCTTGTTGAAACAATCCCTTCTTCTGATGGTGTTTTCTCAGGGGTAAAAAATAACCAGACACAGTCCTCCCATTTCTCTTCTTTATTGAGTGACACACCACAAAACTCTGACATCTTACATGCCTTTGGTCTTATTTGAAACACTTTGGTATGTCTCAAGTTTCTTTTTTAAATACCTACAGCTTCAGCGTCTCCCTTGTTGTTTGCAGCCTGTGCTGCTGTATGGCTGCGCAGTGTGAGAAGTTGTTAACACTGTTATTCCTAACTCAGATGAAGGCGGCCGGCCCGGTTGTTCACAGCCACGAAGCCTCCGCGGCATCCTGAGGGACCAGAGCCGAGCAACCGTCACATGACCGGCGGCATTAACTCCTAACACCTGTGGGAAAGAACAAAATAGCCTCTCAGCCTGCACTGGTTAAATAAGAGTGGCGATAAGTCTTGTGACTTTGTGCTGATCAGTGGCATTCCCTGCCTCGTACATGTGTTTTACGCTTGGTGATATAGTGGCAAATAAAGACAGACATAAATCACTCACAATGGAAATCGGAGGTTCAAAGTCATTTAGTTGGACTTAGTGCAGGTAAAGAAAAGGTCCAGGAACTTAACCTTCTACTATGCTGATTGGCATGACTCTGACTTACCAGCATAAGTGTGGATTATGTTTCCCAGTGTCAGCATGTTAAGACTGAAAAGTAGGAGGACCTAATATTGAACCCTGAGGAACTCCACAATCAGTCATTTGGCTTATTCAAAGAGTTTATTGATTACTATTGGATTAATTTTATTTAATCTGTTACCAAAAGGATGGCACGTTTATAGAACTTTTTTTATGTGGAGGTCAGCTTGTGTGCCCTCAAGGTTGGCCAGAGCATCCAAATATCACCTTAGTTCTTAGTTTTGAGTTTCTGGTTGAATTTCCGAATGACGAAGAACCAGCAGAGTATTTGCTATTGTCAAGCTGGCTGCATTATTTTATTTATTTATTTTTTTTAAAGGTTCAGGTGTTTAATTTGCAGATCCTTTGTAAGTAAACCAAGATTTCCATTTCTCACAGATACGACAACTTCTGCCCCTCAGGATTTAAAACTGATCACATTTATAATCATCATATTTTTAATGCTGTTTTATGATCTTCCAATGGCCCAGTTTCACAGTTTTCCTCACCGGTTCTGTGTTTCTTCCCATCAGTTACATTTGGTCTTGACCATTGAGTCAATTTAAAAATGTGCTTATTGCTAAATATTTGCTTTTGTTCAATAAAATTTCAACAAGCACCGTACTCTTATGGAAGGTGCGTTGTGAGAATGTGAGAAATGAGCGCTAGAGCCTTATGAGACAAAAAGGCTGTGTTACTTTTAATCAAAATCATTTGAAATCTATTTTGATAACCCATCATATTTCTAAAAGTTTTCGACTAACTCAATGGGGAACCCTTTTACTAATTCAACATTCACACACCTACTCATTGTCTTGTGAGGGTCTGTTATACTCCGTCACATATTTCTTCTTTACTGGTGTTATTAGAGCCTGCATATACTGGACCCCACGCTGTTGATTAGATTATTAGATTATGGAGAATTACATCAGTATATTTGACCAAAAACAGAGCGTGGAATCTGTTTCCCTGCCTCAAGCATGTTTCCACTTTCTGCCTCGCAAATCCCACTGGAATAAGAGAAAGTGTGTAAGTGTTCACACACACATGCATTCCTGAATGTGTTTATGCATATGTGTGTGTTAAAATTCAGAGTTCACTCCAGCTCATTAGGGACTCTCTGCTGGGAAGGTAACGGCTGATGTATCTTCATTGAGCTATATTGCGCGTGCTAAAGGCCCTCATGCAAAAACCACTCACTCTCACCCAGATTTCCTCAACTAGAAGCACATGGCAGCTTTCTGTGCTTGTGTGAGTGTGCAAGTGTGTGTCTACGCAGCTCTTAATGCAGACTGATTCATACTGCAGTGTTGCTCTGTGTGCGCTAGAGGAGCTGTGTTGAAGACAATCTGCTGAGTGGAAGGTGTTGATCCACAAGCGGCATTATCACACCAGGAACAGGAAGCTTGATACCTCTTTCTTTTTATGGAGGCACATTAGATTACTGAAGATAATAATCTTTTTAAAATTAACTTTCAATTTAGCCTGACAAAGCATTTTTGTTTTGTTTTGTTTCGTTGTTTGTCTCTTGCACTTTTCCCTAAAAATAAGATACAAGGAAATTATGTCTTTGACCATCTGTCACATTTCCCGCACTTGCAAAAATCTTTGAACACACATGACCAGTCACTGCAGTTTGTATGCATATTAGTGATTGTATAAAAGTGAATCCTGTGTCTATGTACGTTTGATGCTCTGTGCACATTAACCTCTGAATTGCGCCAAAGAGCCACTCAGCTGCAGTGAAGAATGAAATGTGACGGGTCCGTCCACAGGAACCCAAATCCAATCTCCATCTGCTGCAGTGGCCTCTCTGCACAAAACACACACACAAACACACACCTACACCCACACTCCCTTTTCTCACTAGTGTTCAAACATGCAGTTTTTTCCCCAAATCTCCTTCCCCTCTTCACAATTTTTCCTCCTGACTTCTCCTGGTCACTCAGTCCAGCTGGTTCAGTTGATCAGGTTGCTTATTTCCTAAACAAAACGCTGGTCCATCCAATGTCTTGGACTTTTCCTGCAGCTACCTTTTTAACGTTAATTATCCACCATGTATTTCTTCCAAGCTGAGTGCATATCTGTTGTGAGTTCATCTTAAATTATTCCAGTTTGACTCCCGATCTATGATGAAAGGATTCGTGCTGAGGTCAGGCCATACATTCAAAGCATGGTTGTAGTCCAGTGTGGCTGATGTAGAGTTTTGGAACCCATCAGCCTATAAACTTGGCAGCTTTATCCCAAGGAGTAAGGCTGGGAGATAAACTGAAAATTTACAGATACCAAAATTTACGACAATAACCTACGTCATTTTGCCCATATCTTTGTATTCGGTGTGAAAAAAATGAATAAATAAAAGTTGGTTTTGGATGTGTGTAGGTAGGCTATGGTTTCATGTCTCTTTAAGACGCTGTCCCACATCAGAGACGTGACTTCACCCCATCCAGTCCGTAACAAAGAGGGAAAGACAGGTGAGGAGATTGAGGACGGTTCAAAAGTTGTAGCAGCTGGAGCAGCGGCTGAAGTAGACAAAGTTAATGTGGGAGGGGGTGAACTGCTCAATATATCGTGATATTAATTTGAGGCCATATCACCCAGCCCTACTGAGTAGTGTGTCACAGTGAACAATCATCAATACCAAATCTTGATTCCTTAGACCTCCCAATAGAAAGTCTTGCAAGTCTTGATGTTGTCCAATGAGAGCAGATAGTGTGTGTGTGTGTGTATAAGTGCGTCAGTCACAAGTGTAAAGAAGTGAAATGGCAATGCAAAGGTTTTAATTCATGCAGAGATTTTAAATGTCTGGCAGATCAGAAAAAAAAGTGGTGTTGAAATTAGCTGCTGATGCTCGAAGAAAAGGAGCTGAAGATTCTTAATAGTTTTCAGGATTAGCAGGTACCTGTTGGGTCTATAATCACACACTTACATGTTCCCTCAAACCACATTTGCTCTCATGCATTCTGTACACTTGAACACACACACACACACACACACGGACATGGAGAGTTTTGAGAGGCAGCCAGGCTGTGAGCGCTGCGAGGCCACATGATGGTTGAAGGGAGATTTGAGATGGCTTATCTGTGGATAGATAGAGCAGCAGACTGCAGCTGTGCTGAAATGATTTACAATAGCACAGACACACACACGCACACATGAACACACACTTTTTGAAGCTGGTACCCACAGACGAGTGCATGTGTGTGAAACACAAGTGCATGTTATGGCAGTGGGATTGCACATGACACGAATACTCGACTGTAAAATCAATTTGCACATTCGTATGTGTGACAGAGCCTAAATGATGTAAGTAGATTATAACCTTTGTTTAGTCACAGTTTAGACAAGAACCATTCACTCAGCTCTGATTCTGCAGATGTTCACTGCTCAAGATTTCAAAGGACAGACTGAGCTGCTGACTTCATTGTGAAAAATGCTGCAAAGTAAAGAGTGAGCACAGCACAGCTGAGGATAAATGACTCTGTTTTGGTTAGTTTGTTATTTTGTCTTATTCCCAAGACACCAAATACCAAAGCTTTGTTACCTTCATCTTGTACAGATACACCAAGAACTGGGGTTGGGCGGTATCCAAATTTTGATCCAAACTGTTGGCTTGTGCCTACACCATTTAGAAACTGAATACCAAACACTAATAATGAAACAGTAACAACATTTTGTGCACAATATTGACAACTTTGATTAGAAACAGCTTAAAAGTGCACAACAGTGAAACAATTAAATTAACAGATAAATTAACAACCATCCAGAACAATTTTTGCGTAGAGCGCTTCTTTTCCACCGTGTTGTTGTTGGTCCCACATCGGTATCGGGAGGCGTTGAAACTGCTGCGCTGAGTGAACTCTGGGCCAAATGCAACCTTGCGGTAGTGAGTAGGTGGTTGATTCGGAGATGCGTCCTCAGGTTCGAAGTGTTTCCGTCTCTCGCAGTCACTTTTTTATTACTACTATTTATTACTAGATTTCCAAAAACAAGAACACTATTTTGCTTGCTCTGTCTTACTTCATTCTCTCACTCCACTCTCCTTTTCTCCCACCCTCCCTTTTGAAAGACACCGCCGGTATACCTTATTACCGCCCAACCCTACCAAGAACCCTA